CCCAGTGCAGATTTGAAATGTGATTTACATAAGTTACGCTGTCGTGTCTTGACATTCATTGATTCTAAGCTCAGGTCATTTGATGTGTACTGCTCTGATGACTGCCTGCTATTGTTGGAGTAAAATGTCATGGTAATATTTCACTGACAACCTTGACCTCACCTGCTGCTTTTATAGCTCAAGCTCAATTAAGGTGTGGAAGGGCCTAGCAGGTTGACTGCTCTAATTCAATGTCTAACTGAAAAATTATTGTTTTCTTTAAGGAGCTTTGGCTTTGGCATACTGTCAGTTCAGCTCTGTCATCTCAACATTCATGTCTGCACTTGCCATAGCTCTGCCAGTTGTTCAGCTTAAATAATAGATTTATAATTAATGGCAGGTAAAGCTCCCTTGTTGCCTTCAGTTTTTCCCTCGCCCCAAGATACCAATCCAACTGGCTGTGAACTGTATAAAAGATACAAAAGAGCAATAGTATGATACAATACATTTTAAACAGGCCTGGTTTAAGATAAATCCACTTTCCTTACACTTGTGTTATAATCACAATCCAGTTGACAGTTTAAGGCACATCCTCCAACTTACAAGACCAAACCAGTTTGAATTCTGTCTCTCTAGTCAGGCTGAGGCATTGATTTCAGTTTTCCCCCTTCTGCCCATCTAGATCATGAGAAAAGGTGCATAAAGGTAGAGATAAGGTAAACAAATAAGGAAGCTAAACTTTTCATCTGATATGGATTTGTAACAGCCACTGTATTGCAAAATGTTATCCATGGATGACTAAATTCCTTTAACTACAGCTCACAAAATGTTCGCTCAATTAAAAGCTACATCTGCCGCAGCTAGATAGTGGTCGACAGCTCATCATTATTCCAAACCATAAAGCCCACAGTGCTAAATTTACCTCTGTTGATCTGAGTCAGCGAGCTAGAAACTGTTATGGCTGCATCCAGCTTTTATTATTATTTTGCTCACAAGCTCAGCATTGCTAGCAGCAAGAGATTTAGTGTGTGTTGTCGCACTGTGGATGTTGGATAACAACAATTAACAAGACACGAGACTCGCTGTTTGTTTTTTGTCAAAGTAGAGATACACTCCTTTTTGTGTGGTTTTCAGTTGTCTTCTCCCCTCTTGTCTCCTCCACACCTGAAATCTCAATCCATGGTGTTTTTAAATAAGCTGCCCTTCCCTTGCTCTCTGCCTTCAGTACAACATGAAGAGCAGGTTTTTGACTATCAAAGGGATGGTCAGAACAAAATTAAGAAATGTGTATGACTGCTCAAATTGTATTTTAAGTGTCAAAATGTTAAGTGTTTTGGGGCGCGCTGGTGGCGCAATGGTTAGGGCGCGCGTCCCATGTATTGAGACTCTCGTCTCGAGCGGTAGGCCCAGGTTCTCTTCCACCCGTGGCCCCTTTCCGCATGTCATTCCCCGCTCTCTATCCACTGTCCTCTCTCTGTATTAAAGGCACGAAAAGCCCAAAATAAATCTTTTAAAAAAAAATGTTTTGGAGATCGTAAGCATGACAAGCGGGAGCCTGGTCGTCCATGGTCTGACTGACTTCTCATAGCGTGGATGTGTGTGTGAGACCTCCTAGACTGGTTGGCAGTGATATATTCAGAAATCAATGTATTGCCTCTCAGAGGATGAGGTGTGTTTATTGATTCTTTGCACACTGGATTTAATCAAACCTTTTTCTGCTCTTCATTACCTCTCTACTTCCCCTACACTGGGTTTCAAACATGTCTTTTGAGCAGTTGTTTCCACTCCCTCTCTCCCCCTTTTTTGCTCTAGCTCCTCATAGCCACTCCCTCCATGCATGTACAAGCAGTACTTGAGGCGAGTGCAATAAAACAAAGACAGAGCAAGCAAAAACACAGACAACAGCTTTAGCTCAGCTCCTAAGAAGCTAACATTTCCCGCTTCTGTTTAGCACCAAGCATTTTCTTATCTCTCCATCTGTGACTGGTTTTGTTTTTTCTTAGTCTTTCTGTTATATACAATGTTCATTTGTGCCTTTAATTGAAGCTGTCTTCACTGTTTATCAGTTGATTTTGAGCCCAGTAGCAAAATATTATCTTTCATTAATGAGAACCATGTGCTTTTAATATTCAGTTTCTGTGGCCCTCAGCTCTCCTTCTCTAATTAATGACCTACAGTATGTGTGAGAATATTGTGTACTTAGCATGGGACCCTGAACCCCACCTTTCCCTCAGGAAGTGTTTACACACTTGCTCCACAGCAGCTCTGTACAATAACACTTTTTCAAGGACACAGTGTTCACTGGAAGCACACACTGTACTGTCACACACTCTCACATGCTAGAGACATTTATGTCTAATCCACAGGATAATTCCAGACATTTCTTCAGTAAAGAAAGCACAACTTTTATTGTGTGACATTTATTGCAGCTGGTACAGATGGTTACAATAGATTCATGGATGATGGTGACCCTCTCTTTGAGATCTTTTTCAATTAAAAGGTTAATTAACTCTAAAGATGCAGAGCAAAATAAAATGGTTTACCTTTAATCTTCTAGAAAAAATCTTGTAAGAAGATTGTTGTAGCTCTCCCTTTGCTTTCTCAGCACAGAGCTCAACCCTGCTTTTGAGTCAGAGCTTACATTTCTAAGTCCATTTTGTTTCTAACTAAGACATGTAATGTTTTACAACAGAGTTGAAGCATTAACTTTTCAGGCTGCAGGCAAAATGCTTTAATTATACAAATGCACATTCATACACTAATTTCCATACATAAACAGGCTTTTCTGAGACAGACCACACAATTTCACTGTTGTAAAGAACCAATCTAATATGGGCCCTTTGATGCTTCACACACAATGTCCTTCAAATCCAGCTGGTATCTGTAGGATGGATCATTTGTTTGGTTAAAAAGATGATGTGAAGGCAATACAAGACTATACTTACAAACATGGACTCTGTTCTATTTTTACCAGCGTTGTTTTGTCCAAAGCAGTTGTTGGCATCAGTAACTTGTGTGTGAGGAAATTAAAAAGAGCACATTGGTCGGACAGGCCTGAAGCTTCTATACAGCATGCAGCTACAAAGAGTTAGATTCCCAGTAGCGAAACCACTGGCCTGGTCATGTGGTCAACAAAGTTGTTTGAAGGGTTAAAAGCCAAAAGAGGGTTTCCATGTGTTTTGCTTCACCAGTGATTCGTACTGGTGGTCAGGCCTGAAGACAGGAGGGTGGTCCTTACTGGGAAAATGCCTAAAAAGGAAAGACATTTAAGACGTTCACATCAACAAATAATCGAGGCCTTCTTGTGATACTATCACGTTTAGTGGTCTTGAGTCTTCTACTGTTCTGATTTTTAAATTTCTAGACTACTAGAGCCTTTAATGCATAACAATTTCAACACCTACACCTGAGTATTGACTGATATAAAGTATCCCTTCAATAGTAGTAGGAGTTGTAGAAATAGAGATAGCATGGTATTACTGACTGACATCACTACTGACCATGTAGCCAACTTTACAGCTCTACCACTAGCACCACTGTTGTTGTTTTTTATAATTACGTAGTCATTTCCCTGAAACATGCTTACAAACAAATATGTGAAACAACATTTTAAGGCACCACCAGAGGTTAATATTCATACTGATGGCTTTTAAGACAACTCTAAATAATGATATCTATTTGCATTAATGGCTAACTTTATAAGTGAAGAAAAAGTGTGTGTCTAATCACAAAGCTTTTTAACAGCCATGTGAAGGTGCATCTTTTTTATGTTTCTCAAGAAAGTATGTTTTTGTATTTTTTGTTGGAGTGGGAGTAAGAATATTTATCTTCTCACGCAACATAGCAGTCATCATATTTTTTTTCTTTTTTTTCTAGCATTACTATTTATTTATGTACATGCACCAGGGACTGATGTTGGACTCCAACAGTTTCTGAGGGACCGTTTGGTCTGGGCTTCAAAACAAGTAAAAGATGTCTTCTCATTGTTTTCTTGTGGCCCTGACTTACTCTTTCATTTAGTCTCCCACATGCACAAACACCAGTACTTCAGACTTACCGCAATAAGGCCTCTTGTAGTATTTTAAACCATGGTCAGTGATTATTGCATTGAGATCGTGCAGAACACAGTGGGACAGACATGTATGGCTGCTCAACTGCCTCTTTGTTCCATGAGCAGGTTATTCTGACCTGTCTGTTAATGAATGCAGGGACATACAGTTTAACCACAGAAAAATCTCACCTTGGTGAGAGAAACAAAACTGCTGACTGCAGCACAAAACCCCATTCATACACACCAGCTCAATGTATTAGTAAAGGTAAATGTACAGGTTATGTTAGTTTTGGTTCCATTTTCTTCATCGTTTTTCTGCCATTCTTCATTCAAGTGCCTTACTTCGTCTCTCAGCTAGAACAGTGGGTTCAAATGTTGCCCAGTCATGTGACAGGAGTTAGACCCTGCAACAGTCTGGGGTGGCAGCATTGGCTGACCGACACACACACCAAGAACAATACCTCCTTCTTCTGACTTAAGTAGTGGAGCCCTTTGACAGGGTTACAGTTTCTGATCCTCTCTGTCAAGAGAGTGCTCCTCAAGGCAGACAAACAAACAGGTGACATAACAGAGACTCTGTCCCAGTGCTTAACTTCATCATGTTGATGCATGTGAAGAATTGTGCAGGAAAACCTTTTTATTTTATTTTATGTTACAGGATCAGAATCGATGAATATCCAGTTAAACTAAACTAATTTCAGATGTTTTGTTTGTCTGTTTTGGAGAAGTTGACTGTCAAAAAATAGCCATAGCAAAGCACTAAGCTTGCTTAATTTGTGTTTTAAAATTATATAATCTCTGTCATTTTAACAATCGGAAGTATAAAAAGTAGTGAAGCTTTAAAAAAAAAAAAAAAAAAAAAAAATCTTCAGACACATTTCTAACCATATATTGCGTGCATATGTATTTACTGTTTAATTATGTCAATTATTAAAAGCAATCCTAACCTTTTGAATTTTTGTTGTTGCAGCTCAGAATGTGACGGTGGAGGAGATCCTCTCTTCCTACAAGCAGACCTGTCAGAAACTCAACTGTAAACCCATACCCAAAGTGCTCAAACAGATACAGGTGAGGTTCAAGTAAAACTCAGGTAAACACACATATCAGCGTAAGCACAGAGACACTGTTTTGTACCAATTCTGACAAAATACAGTCGGTTATTTGATTGAAATAGTTAAAATCATGTGCAGTCATTTAGGATAGAGAGGTGATTCTGTTTTTGCACCTAACCTGACATGGAAAAAATAGAAACACCTGTCAGTGTAACGCAATACAATTCGAAAGCACCCACAAAAATTGCCCCACTGATGAACTATAAGCCCTGATCAGACTGCTGTTTCAAGGAGCAATATTTTTCCCCTGTGACTGAAGTTTCCCTTCAATATGAATGTCTCGGAGGCGTAATGGGAGGGAGGAAGTGATCTGCTTTTACAGGGGCAAGACGGTATCAGCGTTATGGTATCGACGGAGCCAGCGGAGGAGTACAGTGCTGTGTGTGTGCATGTCTGACTGTGTGTATGTGGAGATCCTGCTGTGCCGTGCTCTCTTGGCTTCTGCAACGCTGTAAGGCAAAGTGAATTCACAGAATGGTACACCAATATTACAACGACGCAAAATCAAAGTACAAAAAAGTAATGGCGGCTTAGTTACGGTGCTGTTGCTGAAATGTGAAAAGGTCCCAAGACTTTCCTAAACTGCTTCAGTACAAACTACACTTTAAAACCTTCATGAACTTTGGAAAATTGTTGCCACACAGTTGTTCAGATTGAATTGGGAATTGTTAGTTTTCTCAAATTAATTGAAAACAGTTTAATGTTACTTGTTTTTGTCCTTTTTCTGCCTTGCACGTTTTTGCCTGTAACTCAGTTTGTTTGCAGATGGGAAAGGAAAACATAAATTTGATCCTTTTAAGAAGTTTCTAGGAAGAGGTGCTGAATGAGAACAGTCGTTCTACTTGAAATAAGGTTATTTGCCACCTCTCGTGAGACATCTTAATCCCCTGTGAAATCCCTTTGGCAGTTGAAAGCCTCTACAACCCCAGCCTGCTGAGCTCCTGCTTTCTTTCCCCTTTTTTAATACTCCAAATATAATTGATGCAATCGTCACTGCAAACAGCTTAGTCATGAAGCTGCTACCTGACATTTTTGACAGTAAAAGCTTCATCAGGTGATAGAAATGTCACTCAAACTTTGTTTAAGCCTGCAGATCCCCCAGAGAGACCCCAGCAAAACTGCAAGGGCATGATCCCTCAATAGCTTCATGCAAAAGAGACAGAAGCTGACTGTGGCTATCATAGTAGGATACAAAGTAAATCCATGCTTTGATTGGTTGATTGAAAGTAACTTACAAATAAAAAGTATGCCAATTACAAATAAAAAAGGTCAAGCAATTGCTTGAATCAGAAGAAAAATATAACTGAAAGACAAGTTCAAACTTAGGTCTATCAACCCGTCTATAAACAAAGACACCAAGTGTTTGTAGTTTATTTACTGAAAACTTGCCCAGTCATCAGGGAGTGAAGCCAGTGCCTCAATATTTACAATACAAAAGTTTATAAAGAAAATGTCAAGAAATGCTTCCTTTGATTGTAAAGTTTGGCTTTGCAACTGGGTAGTATGATTGGCTGTATCAGTGCATCCAACCCCCTGTCATATAGACAGGGGGTAAATTTCCACTTTACTTTGCATTCAAAACACTCTTATGGGGTTTGACATGTTGCTGTGCTGGTAGGGCCATAAGAAGGTGAAAGAGTGCATGCTGTGCAAATTAAATGAAATAGCTTGAGTCAAAATAATTATATGTATCACAGGGCTCTACTGCATTAATATATTATATTAGAAACAAGTAATGTGTGCAGCACTCAGGTGCACTGAGCAGCCAGACGCTGGATAAGATGGCTGAGAACACTTAGGAAGTCCTGGAAGACCCAAAACTTTTATAAAAGTTCCTGTCTGAGAAGTTGGACAAAGTGTTGTTCCAAGAATGACACTGTAAACCTTTTCTTCAGATGATGAAAACACTTGACGCTACTGTTGATGTTACTGTTGTTTTAGGGCACAACAAGATGCACCATGGCATAACCCTGATCAACCTGTTCCAGTAAAAATGGAACCTTCCCGTTTCTTTTCCAAACACGAGTGATTGTTGCTCCCTGCATGGACACACATTTTTCTGCCTTCCCTTGTGGGTTAGGCAGCACAGTCATGTGTCTCATAATCTCTCTGCATAAGTAGTTCTTGAAGCCCAGCGGGGGAAGCCTGAGAGCACTTTCTATATTTCTTGTGCCTTTTGTACAGGATTTGGTGCACATTAACCATTTTAATATTCAAATGTTTCTACTGAATTATATATTTTGTTAGAGAACAGAAAATGGATATGAATTATGACTTTATTGTAAGAAAAACAAAAAGAGGCTTTTAAACCTCCCTTTGAGTTTTGAACTACTTCCCACAGATCGACCAGTCACAGTGAAAGTGGTATCATGATACTAGAGGGTGTTACATGTTCTCAGATAAAACAGCTTAAAGAGTCTGGTTCTTTGTTGCTTTGTTGCTATAGGCGGATTGTGATATTGGTCCTGCCTCTCTAAACAGTAACTGAGCTTGTGTAAGTTAGTTTTAAACATAGACTGCCTGGAAAAGGATAAATCAGTTTCTTGTTCAAAATTAGACCTGGTGCTCCCTTTTGTAAGGGTGCATGAATCTCCCTGTCGTTGTTGAAAATATAAATGTTGGATTAGATATCTCTGATACATAAGAGCATACGAATGCATGTTTTTTTGTAGGAATGTCCTGACACTAAATCAAACCCTCTCCAGTCAGACTGACAGAACAGACGGGAGAGTTGGCAATGCTAGCCATAGCAGCAGAGACCTGTTTGTTTGGCCCAACAGTCACTGCAGCAAACACTCATTAACCCTTCACTGGGCCTCTCCACTGGAGCTTTGAACATGTGTACCTGCAGGTGTGGCTTCATGTATGAGTGATGTAAAGTGAGTTACAGATTGAAACACATTTGTGATTCAAGAGACCCTGCAAAGAAATCCCCATACGCCTGGTCAGCTGAGAGACGTTAGGTTAACATCTCAGCCACTTGTAGAAAAGCACATCACTCTGCTAATCGGCTGCTGCTAGCCTTGTTTCGTCCTGCAGTCTGGATTCATTTCCACTGGGAGTACATAGGCCTGGGATTTTGGGATCACAGAGATATCACACCTTTTCCCATCCTTCCCTCCCCCATATTCAGCTGTTTCTCTGATTGCTCATTTTTGCAAGTCTGGCTTCGCTCCATCCCTCTCTACCGCTGTGGTCTTTTAGTCTAAAACCGCCCCCTCTCATTTTTGCTTAGTCATCCTTACTGTAACCAGCCACATAAACAAGTCAGACCAACAGGCTGACCAGTGAGGAGCTCAGCCTTTTACAGTTTTTTCCTCTTTTACTCTAAATGCTTTCTTTATTAAGTCCAACTGCACTGTACACGTGGCTGTTTGCCAGGGGCTCTATAGGCTATGTATTTCTCTGGCCAGTTGTTCGAGTGTGGGTTTTATAAGGGTCACTATTTAGCAGCTGCATGTTAAATGCCGGCTCTGCAGTAACTTCCAGCAGAGTCTTGGGGTCCTGAACACTTGGTAGCCTTGTGTCACATTTCGCCACCACAATTCCCTTAAGAACAAGTGGTTTCCCTGTTATGCAATGTCCTACACACAGCCAGGATGCACACTTTATTTCTCTGAATATGCAGAAACATGCTCTCTCTAGACTGGTTCACTACATCAGGAATGAGTAAGTTTGCTGTATATGTACTTAGAAAAAACTTTAACTCTTGTACTTTGACCATTACCTATAGCACATAGAAAAAAAGACATTTTTAACAGGCAGAAACCTCAAACAAATCCAGACTCATTGCTGAACAGCCGTCTGTCCGGACTAAATGAGCAAAAGATATGGACAAAAAGCAGCAACAACAAAAACAGATACTTTGGGCTTATTGTTGCAATGCAAAGACATATTGTCATTCTAATAAATGGGATTTAAAAAAACATGCTATTGAGATTATTAGGGATGTCTTGGCCAATAGACCATGCTTTAAAATATTTTTCCTAAATATTCATCAGGTTGTTTTGCACAAGTTTGTTTTTGTAGCACATATCAGCAATGAGGCAATTCAAAGTGCTTCACACAAGACAGCAAAAGCATCGTGACAAATGGAAGAAGAAACATTTTTGCATTGACCTCATGCTCATGCTGCTATTTTCGAAATAATAGTGGTGAGCCATTTGAACTGTTTTGTTTTATTTGACATGCTGGGCCTTTATTCCTTTTAACAATTAAGTTGGAGAGAGAACAAGTTGTTGCTTGAGCTTTACAAGTTACAGTACAACAAGCGGTTACTCACCAAGTTACGACAGAGTTGAGCTGCTTAGAAAAATAATGAGACGGTTTTGATGGCAGCCCTTTCCTGATGAAGGGAAGTGCTTAAATTAGTTCCAGGAACTTTGTTTCACCCCCAGAACAAGTTCTTGCACTGGAGATTGTACTTTCTTGAAGGAATAGGACTGGGTTTGGTTCTTGCAGCACTGAACATTTCTAATTAGTTGAATATTCCCAGCATTGAGGAATCCAGCTGAGTGGTAAGTAGTTTGACCATCTGGTCACACAGCTGCGGAAAACCCATTTAAACTTTTGCATATATATATGAATAATAGTTGTTCCACTTTTGCCTCCATTAAGCCATTTAATGTCATTAAGGATGTCATTGAGGATCCCATCAATTAGTTTGGGTTTGGCTATAGGGTCTATTTACCACTGGCCACTGTCAAGTTTTCGAATGCCCCTTAATTGTCTAGTTAAACAATACAGATGTTGTATTTGATTGACTTCAGGTCTGCTGATAATATGACTGACACATCCTCAGGACTGCTAAATATCCCTAAAAGAACAGTGCAAATAAAACACAGAAGCACGGTAAAGAAAGAATGCTTGGATAATTTAATAGCAAGATCAGAAGGGGACTCAGCAGCTACATGTTTTTCCACCCACAACACACATTCACACATCAGCGCACACACACACACACACACCCAAACCACCACTCGTGCAGAGGCGCCCTGTGCGTCATGCACTATTTTTGGCTCTGGCAGCTTTTTCAGAGAAGTATTTACACTGATGAAGTCTTCCTCACTGACAGGTGCCTCAGTTAATCGTAGGTGAGGGTTCTCTTGCTGTTAATTTGCACAAAATGTGTGCCTGCATATGTGTGCTTACAAAGTAGACATTTTTAGATCTAGTTATATTTCACAAATTCCATTGTTTCATCTTACTGTTACTGGAGTTTTCATAATTTCTTTCATGTTTTTTGTATCGTGGCAATGAAGCTTTTTAGATTTGGTATTTGTCTCATAACATCATATTTTCTGGAGTAACGCAGGAGGCCATGAACTGTCAGTGCAACTAAACCATCATCAGTATGTTCACACCACACACCCACGGATCAGTGATGGCAGAAGGGCAGAGGTTATAGGGTTTATGCTGAACAGAGCGAGCGGCCAGCTAGAGAGAGGGATTTGCTGGTAGACAGTTTGTGTGTCAGGTTGGATGTTTAACAAAGAGCAAGCAATCTTTAAACCTTGTGTCATTTATGTGGTTATATTATCCCACCCTACCCATCAACCACCAATTTGTGTCTTGTGCTTAAACTATGGCAGTGTAAAAAAATTAAAAAAGGGAATATGTTGAGTTATTTAGTAGCTTCTTGTAGAGTCCCTGTGGCTTAAAATCTAGTTTTACTCCTACATGTTTGTTTGTACTTGACTCATCAGTCAATTTTTATTTGAATGCTTTAACAATATGTAAGCTGAGAAAAGTAGAGCAGGCAGAAACAGACATATTGAGCTTTTAGATGAAAAGCTGCAAACCACTGGCTGTACAATGACCTTCAAGGAAAACTTTGACCTTGCAATGCTGTCAAGTTAATACCATGTGCACTCTGCCGAATGGCTTGTTCATCAAATTCTATGTCTAATCTGAAGATGCTATCATTCAGCCCTATGCATTAGTCATATTTAGTGATTCATAAAACCAATATGTATTTGAGTTAAGTTTTCAGCAGATGTTTCTCTTTTGAGCGAGGGTTTATCTTTTTTTTTTAATACATTATCTCTCTTCTATCTCCAGTGCTAATTTCATGAATAGCCTCCTTTTTAAGATGTAAAAGCTTCAACATACAGAGCAAAGTTTACATCTTCAGGGCAATACGGAAGCTGAACTGACTGACACTGCTTTTATTTTGTCTCTGTAGGAACTGAAAGACCTGACACAACGAAATGAATGCTTAGATCTAAAAGGTAAGCACCAAAACACCACCTATCTTCAACACTATAAATGTAACTTGTAGGAATAATTGTACAGATTTTCCACCTTTGTTTCATTCAGCAACATACTCGGGCTAATGCAGAATTAATTGACCAGAGGTGTGTGTGTTTTTTTGTAGGTGAGAAGCTTGACTACAAAGCATGTGAGTCTCTGGAGGAGATTTTGAAGCGGGTCCAGTTTAAAGTGATAGACCTGGAGCAGACCAACCTGGATGAAGACGTAAGAAGATCCTGCCTTTTAAAACTGTCTCTCATTTGTTCCCATCTGTCAGTCCTCTCAGGGCATCGAGCATCCTTCCACCTATTATCCTTATTCATGTCTCTCTCACTTTCTCAGCCTCATCCACTACTCCTCTCTGCCTTCAGTCATACTCTGATCCTCTCTTTTACTCGTCCTGCACTGGCAGGATGTGGAGTGTTTGTCATAGGATTTCTGATTACTCCAGATGTCTACTTGTGTAAACACCATTTAGGACGTTAGCCCTCCAGACACGCACAGAAAGAGACGGTGCTGCAGTATGGGGCAGAGGAACACAGACCACTTCCTGTCACACACTGTTTAAATACTTTACTCTGTGTAGTACTGTACCACACACAGACACAACTCTGCAGTTAGCTATAGACATACCGAGAGGTTTGTCAGGGTCACTTTCAATAATTTCAGATTATTTTATCCCTGATGTTTTAGTAATTTCTCCCCTTATTATTTTTGTAACTTTCCTGTGTGGTATAAATTCAGAGCATATTTGAAGAAGACTAGATGTCATACTTGTCAGGTATAATTCTAGTCTGTATCATATCCTTATTCGCCCAGCCAGTCAAACGTTCAAATACCTCTGCCCGTTAGTCCTAGCTAGAATGAAAGATGTCTGTTGGTTGCTTTGTTTCACATGACTTCTACGATGTGCTATGTCTATAGACAAGTCGTCCTGCTCTGCTTAATTTGCATATTAAGGTGACTGAATTTAAACACTGGGTGTAAAAAACAGGATCCAGGATTGAGATGACAATACCAGGTGTAAAAAGGGCCAAATGAATCCAATTGTGCAAGCACTGAAGTGGGATGTGTGTTCTGTGTAAAGCGTTTCTAAAAATTACTGACAGAGTAAAGTGGAGCCTTACAACATCGCATGAACTGAAACACCACCAGGTCCACGTGAATGACCGCATTTCAAATGTAACCTACCGTAGTTTAATCCAGGATTGTTGCTTCAAGTGCATCAAGAATTTTGCATACATGATGATACAGCGCAGGCCTTGTTATGTAATAATTGTAGCAAAATGATGCAGTGACATCAATGAACAACAATGAACATACTTATGACAGATCCTTCTGTTAGAAAAGCTTAGACAGACACACACACACACTCACACACAAGCTGCCCATAATCCTAACAAATGCAGAGTGACGTACGCACTTTGGTCACCAAACGTGTAATTCTGTCCCTGAAATGTGAATGAAGTCTGAATGAGTCAGTGATTGAGTCACCATTTCATTCGATTCAAGTGGCCCGCCTTGGGCTCTGAGAAAACAACACGCTGAAAGGAGAACATATCGAGGAAGTCTCGCTGGAAGAGGCGGATGTAAAGTACTGTTGGCTAGAAAAGGAACCGAAAGGGGAAGTGAGAGAAGGGATCATCTTCTGAAGTGTGTGTGTGTGTGTGTGAGAGACACAGCGGATGGCTTGATTTGGCAGAGCGTCATATCTGCAGAGCATTGGCATCTTGTAGGGAATGATTTGGGAAGATGAAAGAAGAGAATAGTTTTGTAGAGATATTCTAAAGAGCACGGGGAGGAGCAGTAACGCAAGTCTGATTTTATTGGCTCAATGTGACTCATCCTCCCCCACCCTGTAGATAAACACATTTGAGTATACTCAGTAATGTCGCCCAGTACACACACACACACACACACACACACACACACACACACACACACACACACACACTCTCGGGGAAAAGGTTAGGAGAAGCTAGCAGCCTGTCTGACTGTGTTACCCCTCCTCAGCTTCACTGAAAAAGAAACTCATCCACCTATTTTCATGTCATCCTGCACATAAAAAAATATCACAGGCTTTCGGTGGTGTTCAGGTTGCTTTAAAAAGTTTCTCAGTGAGAGATAACACAATCCATACACACAAATGAATAACACAGCTCCTTTATTTGTTCAAATGTGCTGATAACATTTTATCCAATGAAAGTGAATGGGGGGGAAAGCAGGAAAGCAGATTAAGCAGCCGTCCACCTGCACTCTAGATTCATCTACAGCTTTACAGATTCCGTTTTTCAGTGAGTGATAAAAGAGAGGCACAAATACAGCACCACCCAAACCAAAATGAGATTATTACAGTAATCGTATGAGGTGAGACTCTCTCGCCCTTTGCTGCCTCACCTGATATCTCACTTCAGTCCTTCATGTTCCCCTTTTCAGCGTTGATGATTCGTCACAGTGAATTTGTTGTAATTCTTGTTTAACACATCATAACAACACAAAATAACAAAATTAACTGCTTTAACTTCTATTTATAAGGCATTACATGTGCTTTACCAGCTCAACAAATATGGTGAAGCTTTTCTGTATGAAACACAAGAGTAATCAGAGTAAACAAAACAGTGAAAGATATCACCTATGTCTCTCTGAATGTATTAAAACATTTTCCTTTCATGATAAACATTTTAAAAAAATACTCTCCAGATTCATTCAAAAGCAAATAACATTTAATTGCCGCCCAACTCTAAAATAAACCAGATGACGCCTGTGAGCTAGTTCAGGCAGGAAAACGGGCTGCACTGATTTCACACTTGACATGCGTCATTCTCACAGTCACCTGACAAACACATCTTCTCTTTTTGTGGTCTATTTAAGCTGCAGGATTTCCAGTCTCTCCCTCTGCTCTGTCATTGCCATTTGCTGCTCTGTACTAGTGCTGCATTCTTGCACTCTTCCATCCCAAAATCCACCAGCTGGCTCGGACTCTGGGTTTAAGATTCTGTGAAAAATATCTGCGAGGAGTTTTGAGGCTGCAGCCTTAAGGCCAGACACAAACAATGTTCTGCTGCTTCATCCAATATTTTAAACAATTAAAACTTAAGTTGTCTGACTGAAGGCCGCATAATAAATAAAGAAGATGGGAGCATTACACTTTTTATTTTCACATGTTCATTGTTCATTTTGGTTTCACCTACACACTGGCCCTTTGACCTTATTTAAAGTCTTAATGGAAACACCTCAGCAGGTCTCACTTCACCTGTATGGTTGTTACTATGGCAACTACACCTGCTTCAAACTGTATCTTGTGACAACCTTTTTAAGGACTATTGACACTGTGGCCAACAATAAGATTTGTTTCAAACTATTAGTTTTTTATCTAAAATAACATGTTTAACATACATATCTCTTTTTTTGTGTGTCTCTTTTCTATCTCACTTTGTTCTTCTCAGGGAGCATCAGCCTTGTTTGACATGATCGAGTATTACGAGTCAGCCACACATCTCAACATCTCATTCAACAAGCACATCGGCACACGAGGATGGCAAGCCGCAGCTCACATGATGAGAAAGGTGAGAGGTTGTCCTACCGTGGGGCGGATAAAATCATCTACAGAGAAAGACGAGGAAAAGTTATTTGTGGATTTTAATAAACGACACACCAATCCTGTAAAACATAAAAAAGTGAGAAAATGAAACAAACAAACACAGACTACACTGAAACCTTAAAACTGAACAAAATGAACCAACATGCAGTATAAAACATATAACAGCTGAGTACAATAAATCAATTTTGAATATAACACCTGACCCAACCCCGGTGTTCTAGGTACTACTCATACTCATAACCTCCAGGTTTCATAGTAAGTTTACAAATTGGGAATTTAATTGTATTGGAGATACAGACCAAGGCCATACAGAGAAACAGTTTTTAATTGCTAAATGACGCACGAACGTCCTAATCTTTTAAGTTCAAATGAAGAAGACAGACAGATAGTATTTTTCCACTACAGTATAAAGAGAAAACTACATCGATAAACAGAGAAGTCATCTGGAGAAGCACTGTTAGCGGCACAATACTGTGAAAGTCCCTCTTATTTTTATCAGCTTTTCATTTGAATGAAAGCTGCAGCACCACTATAAATATAATATTAAGGAGCTTACAGATTTTGACAGAAAGATGGTATGATTTCAGCATCTAGAGAAAGACGATCTCTCCCACGAGAAGGCAGCAAGGATAGACAGAGGAACAAATCTTCTGTAAAATATATAATAAAAAAAGTTGTGATTCTATCTGCAGCAAAAGCTTTTTACCCCCAAGCACCAATTTGGTGCTATATTTGTTGTTCTGTATTTCATTTGGCCTGAGAAAGATGGTGTTTGGTCTAAAATGTGACGTCTACGATACAGGAAGTATTTCCTGCTCTGTTGTTGTTGTAGCTCTGTGCCCATCTCTTTCCTTCTCTCTCTTTGATCTGATCTTTCGTTACATCACTTCCATAGTCTTGCTGGTGCCCTTTAAGCTGTACTTGAACTTCAGGCAATCTTTCTTAGTGTTAGGCAGACAAACTGGTTGCAGGGCAAACACATTTATACATCAACTTTTTGTGATCAAAAGAACACAAAAATCTTCAGGTCAGTTTCCTGTGAAGCAGCAGGAGCACCTTGATGTCTTGCCCAATGTGACGGCAGGAGCTGGGGATCGGACTCTACCACTGAGCCACAGCCGCCCCAACACAGACCAACATAATCACAGAAAGCACAAATTTGTTTTCAAAGATCTTGTTCATTGCTTGATATGCAGCAGGGAAAACAATACATTCTTAATACTAATTTGATCATTTTTAACCTGATTAAGGAAAACGTACAAGCAGCACAGTCCTGTTGTTGACACAGCTAGAACGGTGTGGAAAGCTAATTTGTCATCCAATCAGTGTGTGCATCAAAAGCATTCCCCTGTCTACAAACATTAAGAGTCTGAAGATGATTGAAGAGCTAACGGGAGACACCAAGCTGAAGCTCTTAGCTGTTTTTGTCATTTGTTTACAACAGCAGCTACAATCAGGGGTAACAAAAGGTTACTTGATTAAGATCAAAGGTATCTTTGAGAATTTGCAGAGGTGGGATCTGTGTGGTAATGTGTCTGTTAGTAAAATCCATTAGACATCAGATCAAGATCCACATTTAACCTGTACAATAGAGATCCCTGGCTTCAGTTATTGTGCAAATTTTTTGCAGCCAGAAACTTTATCACAGTGATTCGGACATACTTCATATCCTTTGTGGTTTCTGTTCTCATTTTTTATCTGAGCTGCCAAATAGATTGCTTCTCTTTTGGTGTTTCCCCTCAGACAAGCTCTCTGCAGTACCTGGATGCACGTAACACTCCTCTGCTGGATCACTCGGCTCCATTTGTCGCACGAGCGCTCAGGATCAGCGGCAGCCTGGCAGTCCTCCACCTGGAGAACGCCGGCCTTACTGGCAGGCCGCTCATGTTACTGGGTAAGGTTTGGGAAGCCTTGCCTGCAGGGTCTGAACATCATAATCTCTGAATTGAGTCCTCTATTCCGGACATTCAGTGTTTTTCTTGCACTAACCTTCATTTCTTTATTTTATTTTCTTTATTATTTTTCTTTATTATCTGTGCAGCTACAGCTCTGAAGATGAATATGAACCTGCGGGAGTTGTACCTGGCAGACAACAAGCTCAACGGTCTGCAAGACTCAGCCCAACTTGGCAACTTGCTCAAGTTTAACTACAACATTCAGATCCTAGACCTGCGCAACAACCACATCCTGGACTCAGGTACGCAGCAGTGATACAGCACCACACAGAAATAGTAACACAATGGTTTTATGATGCGCTATGTTTTCCAAAGTCTGAAGGGTCTTGTTGAAAATATTTGTTTTATTGAGCATAACCCTCAGATCCATCGTCTCAACTGCAAAAGTTAGAATCAAAAGAATATCAGCAATAAAAGTACTGTAGAAAGGTATATCGAGTGTTAATAATTAGTCTGCAGTATGGCATGTCCAATAATCTGCATTCTTTCCTGAGATGAATAGTGTTCATTTTTTAAGATCAGAGTAATCCAGTGCACACCAGGATTGTTCAGATTGACTTTAAAGTTGAATGCATATAAAACATTGTTCGCTCCAATGTTTTATCTTCTATCGTCTCCCCCTCATTACGTCTGTGTTACTACCTCCGAAGGCTGATCAGGGGCAGAAGGACTTCGCCCCACCATTCTGTCTCCGTACGTTACACATTGCAGTCAAGGCGTAGCAGGGGCAGAAATATTCCGCCTCCAACTGGCATATGTAAGTGCTCTGACTCGATCTTTGTTTTGTGGTTGCAGGTCTGGCCTATGTTTGTGAAGGACTAAAAGAGCAGAGGAAAGGCCTCGTCACTTTGGTGCTGTGGAACAATCAGCTCACACACAACGGCATGGGATACCTAGCTGCTGCACTGGTACACACACACACTCACACACACACACTGTGGAGGGGGGGACAATAAAGCCAGTCTACACCCACACCTATCAGATGTTTCATGAGGACAAACAATGGCTGTGTGTGTTCTGTATCAACTCCAAGAGGGAGGACTCTGAAGCGTTCTATGAGCAGATGTCTCCCTCACTTCATCTCAGTTTGATTCTGCAGTTTGATTCTAGAGATCGTCTGTTAAGTGATTGTGCATAAAGGTCAAACTCGTTATTTCATGGTTGCTGAAGTAAAACAGCATTTAAATGTTATGTAGACACTGCTGAGTCATTACAGTCATCGCCTTGTCAGAGCGAGATAAACTTTCTCCTTCTGTGACAGTTTGACCATTTCCTGTGCAAATCCACATTTTATTAACAGCAGATGTAGATGCAAAGAATTCAGACATATTTAGAGCGCTGTCCTTTACCCTGACATTTGTAATCTTTTAAAATTTCTGTGAAATAAGCAAAATAATCATCAGGACTTTGATCTTAGTTTATAGTAACTACTGAGCCAAACAAAAGTCCTATTGCTTTAGGAAACACATGATGCTATTCCTCATGGATTATTATTTATAAGTATTTTTTATCTCTTCTAAGAAATCTCTCTGATGGTGGTTTTATCTGAGGCTGCAAAGATGTTACAGGACACACAAGAATGGCCTTAAAACCCCAAATCACACTGATCAAAATCTTTACATGGCTGTCCCGGCTGCTGAGTACTATGAGTACTAAAACTGGAGATAATCACAGTGTACTGGATTATCACAGCACAATGACATGTTGATGTTGGACATTAAACAGTAACCAGTACAAGTAGAAGAAGCATGTATACTGACAAAATCCCTGGTTAAATTAGTCGTGGAGATAGAGGCTGCCACATGAAATACTTCCAGTTATAGTGCCGTAACAGACACATACGTAGTGCACAGAATAAACATGCACAGATGTACAGTATGAGCATTCAAATGCATGCAAATCATTTATTTATTTTACACCCTTTAGCACAGTTGTCTGGATGACTGCTAACTTGTGAATAGGTTAAGTTTATGTTAAAATAAGAATGTAGCATGGTACCTTCCTCAGAGCAATGTCACAAATTGTTACACAGTATTTTTAAAGTAAAACATTTTTTTTTAAATATAAAAAGTCTTACTTGAGCCTTTGGAAGGCAGTAACAGATAAAAGATGTTCAAATAAATCAAAGTACCTGCAGCGTTTTTATGGTGACTCCTGTTTTTTGGGTTTTTTTTTAAATGGACATTAAAGATATTATCAAGAAGGATCATTTAAAGGATTCTCATGTATTAGCCTATTGAGAAGTAAACTGTATCACTCTTTAAAAACAGCAGAACTCTACAGGTAATAAACAGAACACGTATGCAGACGTTAGATTAACTTGCTACAGTATAAACACCCGCTGTACTTGTCTGAGAGATCAGATAAACATGAAATATCTTAGTCTACTTGGACACGCTACAATTTTAATACAAGGGCACACTAAGAAACAATTTCTGGATTTTTAGATTTAATGTTAGCATTATCTCATCCCTTTATTGAAGCATGTTCCAAATGTGCTGCTAAAAAAAAACACAAAGGGGTAACAACTATACCCACAATCCATTGTTTAACTTCTCTCTCTGTTTTTTTTTCTTCCTCCATCAGCCATGCACCCAGAGTCTGGAGACTCTGAACCTCGGCCATAATTCGGTGGGTAACGAAGGAGTCCACAAGCTGAAGGATGGACTGATCGCTAACCGCTCAGTGCTCAGATTGGGCCTTGCTTCCACCAAGCTGTCCTGTGAAGGTGAGGAGCCCGTCCCTCCATGCCCTCTGCTTCAGTTAGTAGTCTTACTGTCTCTGATTTGACATCTCCTTGTGTCTCTTTATGTCGTTTGTGCTACAGGAGCTGTGGCTGTGGCTGAATTCATCGCTGAGAGCCCCCGACTGCTGCGTCCTCGACCTACGAGAGAATGAGATCAAGACAGGTGGACTGATGGCTCTGTCACTGGCCCTGAAAGTCAACACCTCTCTGCTGCGTCTGGACCTCGACCGGGAGCCCAAGAAAGAAACTGTGAGCATTGGGGCAGGGGAGAGAAGATAGAGGGCCAAAAAGTGAATCTGATGTGGACATTTGTTCTACATCAATTGTTGGCCTATTACTACTATTTAAGAGATTAAAAAATCTTGTTTTATTTCTAATTTCATCTCCAAAACATGAATGAAAAAAAGTGAGTGATTCTCCCCTGAGTTCTCATGATGTTCAAACACGAAGCATACATGACTTTGCTTTTGGGAACCCAGATGTAACGAGGTTCATTTGAAGGCAGCCAAAGTGAATATATATGCTTGTTGTTGCTTTTTTTTAAGAGAAGTCTGAAAATATTGAGCTGGACTTATGGTTTTTTCTACTTTTTATTGGATTTGTAGAAAATAAATTCAAAACATAAGAATACAATCTTTAACCATTTTCATTACTTTTCATGGGACTTCAGGGCTTTATAATATTAATGGCGAGGGAGAGATGACAGGAAATGATGGGAAAAGGCCATCCAGCTGCCTCCAGCCTCAGCTATTCAAAGAACACCGTGCTGTGAAATATAACTGTCTTAAACAGCAGACTTAATAGAGGTTGCTACCTCAAAGTAATTGTAGGAAATGCTCTACATTGTGTTTAGTTTTTTTTTTTTCTTTTGTGGTTTGTGTTGCAGCATGTTTAAGACTTTTATTTTGTCTCTCAGGTAAAGAGCTTCATTGAAACTCAGCGCGCCCTGCTGACTGAGATACAGAACGGCTGCAAGAGAAACTTTATCTTTGCCAAGGAGAAGGAAGAAACAGAGCAGAAGATGAGGCAGTCTGCGTCTATGGCTGAAATCGCCACAGAGGACGGGGTCAGAGAAAAAGAAGAGGAGGTGGCAGCAGCAGAGGAGAAAGAGGAAACAAAGGAGAAAGAGGGGGTAGAAGTTGAAACAGCTGGAAATGAGGTACAGACGAGTAGCCAGTCAGGAGAGAGCTCTGACACAAATGTTCCCAAAATTAACCTTGAGTCAGACTCTGACACGGAGGATGAGGAAGAGGTGGTAACAAATTCCACATCCACATCAAACTCCTGCGCGATCTTAAACCAGACTGCTCCTGAAAGCCAGACAGCAGCTGCACCGCCTCTCCTCAGTGCCTCAAGTACATCTTCAACCCCGTCTGCATCACCTGCCGGGGGGCAGAATGTCATTTCTGGTATCACCGTCACAGAATCTACTGCTCCTCCCGGTCCCCCTCCATCCCCTGGTCGCTGTATATCTGTCTCAAGTCCAGGAAGAGGTCATAAAATCTTTATGGTTACTCGGGTGGAGAGCCCTCCTGAGCAGCAGCAGCAGCAGCTACAGCTCCTGCAGAAAAGTGCTCCTAAAGAAGGCTCGAAGAAGCCTGCTGACATGAACACAAAGCCGACACAGCCACCACCCTCATCTCAAACACAACTGACACAGGAGGACGTGAAGGACAGCTCAACTGCGCCGTCATTGGACTGTCAACTGACCAAGCAAAGTCCTGTAGCTTACTTGGAGCCTGCACTAAATACCACACAAGCCAACACACTAGAACCCCAATCTACCAATCCAGCCACAGAGGATGCAGCGGCTAGCACTTTAGACCCAGAGGTGACAGATTTAAGTCCAGCCCTGCCTTCAGATCCCCCGTCTGTGCAGCACACAGAAGAGGAAACGGAGAGCACTGAAAGCCCCCAAACTGAGCCCACATGTGTAGAAGAACAGAATCAAGGAGAGGAGAAAGAATGTGTAGCAGATGACATGCAGGTGTTGAGCTCTGAAAGCACACAAGAGACTGGACAGTTAGACAAACTCAACACCAGGATCACTGCAGCAGAAACGCAGCAGCCGCTCTTAGCATCTACTCTTGAGCAGCTACAGAATGAACTTGCATCTGCATCAGAAGAGTCTCTGTCCGTGAACCAAACAGTAGAAGAAATCGAGTCACTTTCACTGCCGGGGAAGCCGCAAGCACCAGCCACATTGTTCGAAAATGACCAACCAAGTTTAACAGAGGAAAAGTGCAGCCAGCCATGCCAAGAGGAGCAGAGTCCAAAGCAGCAAACGGAGGCAGAGGAACAGGGAGAAGAGCCTGCTCCAGCTCTCCACACTGATCTCCACGCTGATGAAACTCCATCTGCCACTCAAGATGCAGCTCAGGAGTCAAGTCCTCAGGACGGGGAAGCCTCAGAGAATCCTGAACCTGCCTCTACTGTGTCCATCTCTGCGGTCAAAGTGGAGGATTCCCCCGATGAGAGCTCTGCAGACGAGGACAAGGGTTGTTCCAAGGCTGAGGAGGAGGAGGAGGAGGAAGAAGAGGAAGAGGTGGTCAACTTAGCTCTGCCCAACGGCCTGAAGACTGAGTTCTCCCTCCATCTTCTCAAAGCTGAAAGTCCCAAACCAGGCAGCTGTGTGATGGAGCATGGTAGGTCACTGTAATTACTCACTTATCTATGATAAGATAATAAGCGGTTATATGTGCAGTGGGTTGTTGCTGTGAAGATCTTAGGTTAGTCACTACAAGTACGTTTTGTAATTCTTCCCATGTGTCTCTCTCGTAGTGAGCGTCAGCTGTGGACAAGAGCTGGAGGAGCTGCTGCTAGAGGCCAGTTTGGAGACTGGTAGAGATGCACCATGAGGAGTAAGGTGAACTTTCTCTCCAGTCATTTAGTGTTAGGTGGGGGTTATTTCTGTAGTAGATGGACAATTATGAAATCGTGAAACAGACTGTGGATCATCTTAGATTTATTCAGCCATGGTCAGACAACACAGAAACACAACACACATGGCTGACAAAGTGCAGACCATCGCTGACCAAGATCTCACAATCATTGACAATCATTGGCAAAGTGGCCATCATGGGCAAAATGGCTAAATGGCAAAGTCTTCATTACATAGTGCAGCTTATATTCTGCTAGAAGGTACAGCCCACAAATTCCTTTCTATTTGGGCACATCACTATAAAACAATAAAGATGACATGGCACTGATTTGTATACGTAACAGATGTAGACTCTCTGTCTAACAAACAGTTGCTGACAACATATGGTTGGCTCCTATCCAAACATAGATCTGCTACGATTTACATGTTTCACCATATAAGGTTACAGCTTCACAGACCCAAAAGAAGAATTACCCTAAGATGGTTGACACAATTTAAAGATATGTCCACAAAATGATCAAGATGAATGAATCCATGAAAATACGTACTAACATTTAGAATTAACAGAACGTGAAAATAAATACATCTCCACACCAATACCAAACTGTAAAGTTTTCTCATGTTAGAAACTAAAGTCAAACACTTTTTATCTGCCAGTCTGTCATGTGTAAACTTCTGTCCAGCTTATGGGTTATCTTGTTATCCTGACTGAGCTGCATGTGTGAACACTAGCGGCCTCATTTCTTTTGCCCAGACGTTTTCCTTCTATCCCTCTTGTAAAATTTCTGAGTGAAGTCAGTGTAAGCCAAAGTGGGACACAGCAGGAAGTATTCTGGAAAGTTCACAGCGGGCTAGCAGACAGGTGGGGTTGATGAAACCTGTGAGCAACTGTTGGAATTCATGTGCACGTAGTGAAGCTGCTTTTTATCTTTTCTTCTTGTGAGGTTTGACACTCCTTCATTGATATTGTAAATTCATCCAGTTACACATGTGTTGTTACAAACAGTCATTTTCTATGTCAACATTTTTACTTTTAACGCCAAGAGGCAAGTCAGGAAGATCTCTGGGAGGCCTGTGATGAGGAGTGCATGTGTGAACACTCTTTAATCGTTTTGACCTACTGTCCTTGTCAGTTGTGCTGGCACATGTTTTTTCAAGGGGCAACATTTTTTTGTTTTTTTTTCTCCCAACTTGAACATTTAACAACTATTTATATTTGCCTGTAGTTTGAATCGAAAGCTCTGGCCAGACAGACGGGGGTGTAAGGCTGGCAGTGTCTTCAGAGTGATCACTGCTCATAGCAAAGAGCGCGGTTCTTTTGGTCTGGTCTGAAACATATTACACCCTCTTGCTTAACAATCATATATAACCTTATTTTCTCTTATTGAGTTTAGTAATGTTCCCTGATTCATTCAGGACTAATCTGTTTGTTTTCTGCTTCCACAGGGATCCACAGGGTGGCGACAGGAGAAAACAGCACTTGGATAGTTTGTCTGGGTCTGCTAACGTGACCGGTTGCCCTCAAACGTTTTCGTTGTTTCTTTGACTTTTACCACCAACAGACACTTTCTGTAGCGGACAGAAGAGGTGGTGTTACAGTCAAAGCTTGATAACACAAATATACTATATGGGAAGACACAGGACAAAATCAACTTTGGGATGTTGGCTGTGACAAATAAGGAATCATCTGCATCATCATCACTATGACAGACACACACATACGCACACTACTTACAAGGAAGAAAGAAAATAAGAAATAAAATCACCCTGTTATCACTACATTTTGTCAATCTGCAATCTTTACGAACAGAAAGCCTCCTGTGAGTGAGAAAGAAGAGGAATGGGGGACAAAACACTAACCAAAGACAGACCTTTCTCACAGACCTACTGCTCTCTCTCCTGTGTAAATGTCCACTGTAGTTTGGGAAATAACTAGCATCTAAGATTTTTATCATAACACACACATACAAAGACGTAATGGTGATAATAAGGAAGCTGGGGTTGACGGCACAATCACAAGACAAACTACCAGTGATGGACCCCCCCCCCCCCCTGTGCCGACCTGCCGCCTTTCAACACTTTTTGAAGTAGGTCACCGTCAGAGGCTTTTATGTCCAAGGAAGCTGAAGATGTTAACATGTCTGTTTAAATGTCTGCGTTTCATGTCTGTGTTCCACGTTCCCCACTTCAGGAAGTAAAAGAAAAACTCTGAATGGACCTCTGCCAAAGTGACCTCCCACTTCAATGTTGTCTCGCCCTCCGCTCACTTTGGCCCCTCAGGAATCAGCGCCCTCACCTCTTGTCAATCTCGTCAGACCTGACATGGACGAGATTTATGAAAAGGCACAGTACTTTGCTCCTCAGCTGAAAAAAAAAAAACCCTAAATGTTGGATAGCAAAATGTGTGCTTTGGTTTCAGTTATCTACAGTTTAGGAAATATATAGTTTATCACATGATTTTCTGCAACTTCAGACACTATTACTTGTTTTTTCATGTTTAAAAAAAAAGCGGCTCTGTCGTCACCTCCCTCTCCTCTCGCTCATTTTTCAATATCTCACGTTTCCGCTCCGTCTCGTCATTCATGTTGCCTTCAACGCACCACCTTTTATTCACTCTTTTGATTCAGATTCAGTCTTTGTTTTTTTTGTCTTGTTTTGTCTGGCTGCTTTAAGAAATCATGTGTTTTGTATTTATTTCATAGCTATATGAGCCTTTTCTCATTCATTTCCCCCCTTTCATCCTTATTTTATCCCTTTGTTTCCATTCTGGGGTTGCGTTTTAGCCCCTTTTTTGATGTATATTTCAGATTCAAACTAGAGCAAATATTTAGTATTTTTTTTCTCCGAGGGGTGGTGGGGTAATTTGTGTTGGAAGAAAGGTTATTATGATGTAGTGGTTGATTACGGAGGTGTCAGTCAGTGTGAAGAAATGGAAGCAGCAAACTTGATACTTTTCATCGACGTTCCAAATGTTTGAACACTACTCTGCTGAGTGAAGCTGTAGCCACAAGGGGGTGCTGGTGGCTGTGTTGTTTTCAGAAAAACCACAGACGACATCCATGTCCTGTCCTGAGTTTCCAAAGCGAGACTTACTATGAAATGCCAGCTTCATGTGTGTTCAGGATGGCTGGTGAGAGAGGTTTGTTTTTCATTTCTTCTGAAAAGCTGCACCGTTCAACCCTCCTGCTTCTCTCCACCCGACAGATAGTTTGCCCCCACTGTTTGTTATGCTTTAATTTTTAGACATTTTTAATGATAATTTGTTAACTTAATTGAAATGTGCTGGTAATCACAAAGATATGTATGGCGAAATTTGTTCCTCTCAAATAAATGCATGTAATGACTAATTATGAGTGAATGTTTCACTTCAAGATGTCTGAACTCTGCAGAGCTGCAGGAAATGTGTTCTCTGCGTTGGGACGTTTTGATACAGCTGGTTAAAGCTTTTAAAATATGTTTTGAAACCCTGTAACATATTGAACACTTCTGCAGAAAATATTTATGTGTTATTTTAATATAGGGTCATTTTAAAATCAGTTAGTGCATGCTTCAGTGCAAGTCAACAGCTGTTAGCAGTTAGTATCATCCTCAAGCGTTAGAAATTAAAGCCAACACAGAAGAGTAACAAAACTGCTGTTCCTGAAGATCACTTGCGGCTGGCTGGATCCACGTTAGAGCCCATACTTCCCACAGAAGCAAACATGTTTATAGTCTGGATTAAAAAAAACTAAACATTTTGGTCCTGACGGCACATTTCTTTATGGTTCAAAACTTACATTGGATTTTCTTGTAATGAATCAGTTCAGATTAAGTTATGGATAAGTGTTATGAATACATTTGCATTTGTAGGAGTGAAGGCCCGCCTCAGCTCCACCTCTGCCTGTTTCTAGATTGATCCAAAGTGAGGTAGAGTCAGCATTTCCAATATGGCGACCACCATCATTTGGCTTCAGAAACAATGAGTAATTCGGCTAACTCTACGTCCATGTGTTGAACAGTAAATAGTCTTTTCAAGCCGATGATCGCCCCCTCACAGGGACCTTGAAGCTGAAGCCCGTAAACCACATGTATGGTATGAAAGAAGATTATGAATAAAAGTAAGACCAACAGTCCACAGCCATGCTCACATGATTACGAGGAAGCTGTTATGGTAACACCTCAGTTTGTTTGTATAATAACAGTAAAGAATATGAGATTAAAATACTGATCATACTGAACAACAATCCTCGACCACAGACTGTTGAAAGAAGGACAACAGGTATCTACCTCCTCTCTTCTCACTGAACTGTTTTTGACGTCCCTCCCCCTCAGCTAACCAGAACGCACATCGAACTCTCCAATAAAGCTCCGTCAGGTCGGTTAAGTCTGCAGCAGAATAGATGATTGTGTCAGTCTGAAGCAGACGCTCTGTGATGGAAAGTTCAAAGACTCTCGTGTTTGGGTTTGTCACGTTTCTCTCACCGTGATCTGGGGCCTCCTGCTAATGGATCCTAATCACTTGGGTCCTACTAAATCCTTCTTTTTCTGTCTTTAATAAAAACAAAATATCTTTGTGACTCTTATTGAACTCTGGGCAGATTACATAAGTATATCAAATGTTATGGGTATATTTTAGCAATGCCCATCTTATAAAACTAGACAAGCCCATGAGCTAGTGTTGGTGTCCAGCAGAGCTATATCATAAAAAGATGTTTGGATCAAAACTCTCACAACCTCTGTTCATATTTCAAAAGACTTGAGATTCAGAGATATTGTGCCTGATGAATGCGTCTAAAACTTGGATTCCTTTAATACAAAGGAAACCTTCTCATGTCTCCTGCAGTGAGGGTGTGTAGTAATGCCTGGGGCTTCGAGTCCAGGGTGGGATCTCTGCTCTGTATGTGTTACTGAAGGAATTCCAGACTGCACTAATCCACTCCCGCCGAAAAACACCGACATTACAGAGAGTGCAGAGAGCCAGACGCTTTACAATGTCATTTTAAAATCTCTTTGGATTGAGGAATTGTTTTTTTTTTTTTAATGGGAGCCCTTAGCAGACATGCATCCATACATTTAATGTACTTTGTTTTTCTGAGATAAACAATAACTTCTGGTTCTTTTCCCAAGATCTCGCCTTATCCTATTATTTAGAGATATAACCTGTGATAAGTTAGTATCAGTTGTGATCCCGGGATCTCGGGACCAGCATAGTTATCTCGAGGAAATTAGAAAACAATCAAAAATCACACCATACAGGTCTGCTTAGGGCTTCCCTAGTTTTGCGGTCTTTCTTTTGTACCAGTAGCAGTTTCATGCTCAAAGTGATACAAATCACATGATTTTAAACACAGGGCCGCTGTTAGCAGCAGGTTGGCTTAAAGACCGCCTGGTCTCCTCTTCAACCTCACAGTGACAGCAATACTTGAAAAAGGTGCTGCTCCCAGTGAAGACAAAGTGCTGTTCATACACATGTTTTTTTAAATACAGAGTGTGGTGCTTTGACAACAACAAACTAAAATGTTGTAAAATGTGTAAAAATTCTTAAGAGGGTCTTGAAGGCAGACTTCATAAGCTAACACAACATCATATATCATATACATATACATATTTGCCCAGTCATTACCCAACCATCAATTTATTAAGTGTTTTCTTCCAAAAACAAACCTTAGTTTAAAACAAAGCATTTCACTAAAGCAGGATATTTTATTTAAAAAGCAGTTGGATTTTTGTTCCCAAGTTATTGAATACCATTTATTCACCCAAAATATCCACACAGCAAAAAGATAAGTATGTTAAAATGACAAAACTCATTCTACTACAATGATTGTAGTTAAGTTTCGTTTTGTGGGGTTTCACTTTAAAAGGTCTTGGTTCTTATCACACAATCACACACAGATGTGTGTTCCTGTGAAATTCTGGAAGAATTAAAACATTTCCTGGTCTTCTATTTGTCTCGTGTTTTTCTTTTCTTTACTGTGACTCCTCATATGGTCAGAGAAACTCCTGAGGCTTTGTCCTCATACATATGAAACATGTGATCGTGCACCTCAGGGTGAAGATGCCATCAATGTAAAGTTTTCTTTCTGTGAAGGTTTGTTTTCGTCACACTCAGTGAAGCCAGACAGTGAGTCAGATTGTTTTCTTCTGTTACAGCAGGATGTTTTCAGTTCTAACAAAATGAAGCTTACATGATGTGAATGATTGCTAGTGACTTAATAATTTAGTTATTTAATGTTTCCAGCTTTTTAAACCAATACATTTTTAAATGCACTTTGCATTTTGTACTACTCCAAACGACAAATTGACAAAATGTAGTTTAAGTGAAGAATGCACTATATCTTAAATTAGACGTGTGAATCAATGTCGGCTATCCCATGTTTTTGTTTTTTTTTTTTTGTTAAAAAATTATTCTCCTGCTAAGAAGAAACCTATATCCAATCAACCATCTTCAAAGAAAGATTTTTAAAAAACAGGAAGTACCACATAACAAAAAAAGAGAACAAACTTAAAAGTTCTAGCCAGGCTGCCGGGTCTATGGCCTCTCTTTCTACAAGAGGACAGTGACAAGTGATCAGATGCTTCCTCGCCGAGTCTTTCCTTGGGCTTAGTCGTGCCTCAGGAATGTGCTGCTAGAACAGTAGGGATTTAGCCACGGTGTCAGTCCCTATCTGCCCTGTTGGTTCGCAGTCCATTGGACTGCAACAAACCCCTGCACTGCTGGCTCCACAGAGCAGGGGCTGATGGGCCTGCTGCATCATCTTTGAGGTCATGAGTGCTGAGAACTGGACAGAGAGGTTGCACAACCTCAACTGGTCTTTAAAGAGCTTAAGAGGTGCTGGTGCAAAGATTATGCTACAGTTTGTGCATAGTCATGTTCGCTGTTTCTCCTCAATTGGGTGTTAAAGCTAAGCTAGATAAGCTAAACAATAAGCATGGTATCAAGCCTCTTTTTTAGATTATGTTTGGGCTTTTATGTCTTCATTAGAGAGATAGGACAGTGGATAGAGTCAGAAATCAGGGAGAGAGAGAGAGTGGGAAATGACGTGGCAAAGGAGCCACAAATCAGATTCAAACCTGTGCTATACCCGCTTTGAGGACTGTAGCCTATATGTGGGGTGCGCAAACTAACCACTAGGTCACCAGTGTCCCTTGGTCTCAATCTTTAAAGGAATGAACCTAAAAAGTTGAAAAGTACTTGTTGGAGTTCATAGAAAATTCCAGCTAATGACACAGTTTGCTTTCAAGTGAATAGCAATTAGCCTCCTGCTGATCGAACTCGCTCACAGTGGGAATGAGCAAGTCAATCTTATTTGTCAAAATGTTTTAATTTTAAAAGTAAGAATCATAGATCAACTCATGGCAAAAATTAGCTCAAAAAAACAACACATGCAACATTGAGGTTGACAAAAAAAATGTGTAAAGGGTTTGAATGTGCGAAATGTTGTAATTTGTGCTGCTTTATTCCCTCAGTGACAGTTATGAGGGTGCTACACTGGTGCATGCTGGGAGCAGCCGTCCTGTTGCTTTTGTGCCAGGTCATCATCCATCATCAGTTGTGTAGATGGATTTCACTTTCTCTTTTCTCTTTATGCCTGTGGGCATGATTTTTCCTCCTTGAAAGCCCATGAGCGTGAGACAACCTCATCTTTCTCCTTTATGCTTCCTCCTCCTCCACAGCTGCCTCTACTTGGTATGACCATCACCTTATTATGGCTTTTTTTTACAATATACTATAAGGAATATGTCATTTATTTTTTTCTAACGGAAGACTCCATGTTTTGTTATTGCTGTATAATGTAAAAAATTGATAATTGATAAGTTGAATTATCTTTTAGGATAACGTGGCTGTCTACATCTTTTCGACATAATATGTTTGGAAGCTTAAGAATCCGCTTAGTTTCTAACATAAAGTAATGTATTAAAATAACTTTAACTGTTGTTATTGGCATTCCAGCAAACTCTGTACATTTCTAAAGTTATTTTTACAGTAACAAAGTCAAAAACCTGTATTATTCAATGTGTGTTCATACTTGTTGAGTGTGCCTGCTTGCTCTGGCTTGATCCAATCACTGCTTTCTGTCCTCACTTTTTATAGAAGATTCTGATTATCTTTGTAAAATCCACAGCTGAGGGAAGGTGTCTGCTCTGTTTTTAAAGCTCTACCAGGAAACAAAAAGGATGTAGGAAGTCTACATCCAAATTAAGCAACTGTAAACATTGTGTGTACTGTAACATCTTAATCTGTTTCCAGTTTATGAAGTCTGTTTTCTGGCTGATCAGATTATGTAATAGCAGGTCTGGTATCTGTAATCCTGACAACACAATGGGGATTTAATTAGTGCAAATTAGCTTCACTCGGACTGCTCAGAGTGTGTGAAGGGTGGGTGGGCTGTGTGATCCTCTCCCACCAACCAGCTGAGGAGGGAATGCAAACAGGGATAGCTGAGGAGAGGACGATACCACCCAACCCCTCCCTGGCTCACATGACTGTGATTAGAGCAGAGGAGGAGTGAGGTGGGAGAGAGAGAGAGGGGGAGAGGGGGAGATGGGGAGACATTATGAATGACATTTTTCTGATCTCGCTGCACAGATCACATCCAAGAGCCAACTTGTCCTGATTGCTGACTGAGGGTCATCCACTTCACTGCGGTAATTTAATTTTAAACAGAACACTTGCGACATTTATCTTGTATTTTATGACAGAGTTGTGCTTTTGGGAACAGTTTGCAGTGTTCATGTACATGTACATGTTGTTTTATTCTGGACTGTCATGTGGAAGAAGTCATCAGATCTTGTATTTTTAAATGAACAACACCAAAGTAATGTATTCTTTAAAAGTCAATTTCATTCAATATTTTAGTACTTTAATGAACCAGTGCTATTTTAACTCAAATATGAGAGTCCTTTTTATGCATGATTATTATTATCACAATAATATACTTCTGGGTAATATTTAGCTGATAGATCATTAACAGTTATTTAGTTTAATGTTGAAGCTGGCTGAGATGTGGCTGATGTGCATTACTTTATATACATATCTGTTTTTAACATATATTTTCCTAATTGATGCAGGGTAAAACTTTAAAGCAGTGATATAAAGTACCTCAAAATGTTAAATGTTGTCAGGCTAGTAGTTGATTTGTAGTGACAACACAAAACAAATGGTGCAGAAATATTTATGAAGTTTAAATATTCACTCAAGCCCAACACTTACATACAATTGTGAGGTAATTGTATTAAATATGGATCTAACTTCTCAAACACATTTCAGGGGGAAAGATACAGCTTTTACAAATTTTCAAATTAAATTACCAGAACTAAAACAAATTAACTCGTTTTTGGTATTTCTCTTCCACGAGTTCTAATATATATCTTTCATCACAAGTTGCCATCCGTCCAGTCAAGCTTGTATTTCTTGCTGCATCCAAAAGTTGCCCTTTCGTATGTCTTGAAAACATTACACGCAGCACATGTATGAGCTAATATAAAAATTCAAATAATATAATATGATCTTATTGTAACGCATGCAACATTGAGGTTGACAGACAATTTGTCATGTGTTTGAATGTATGAAATGTTGATTGTGCTTTATTCACTCAGTTGCAGTTATGAGGGTGCTAAACTGGTGCATGCTGGGAGCAGCTGTCCTGCTGCTAGTGTGCCAGGTCATCATCCATCAGTTGTGCGAGTCCCTCATTGTTCTGGTGGATGGATTTCACACACTCTTCATGCTCGTGCGCATGGCTTTTCCTCCTTCTAAGCCTGTGAGCGTGAGAAAACCTCCTCTCTCCCCTGCATACTCTCCCCCCTCCTCAGCTGCACCTCCTTCCCTCCTGTCTGTAGACTCTGCCATTAAAGTTCTACCACCTGACACCCACACCTCCACTGATGAGTCACAAATCCAAGAGCAGCCTCCGATTCCTCAACCTCCTCTTGAAGCAGCCGCACAGGTCAACTCCCCAGAAGTCTCTCCAGCTCTGAACTGTGGTCTGTCGTACAGCAGCAGCAGGACTCAGGTTGTGGGGGCTTTCATCTCCGCTCTAGTCCTGACCTCTCTGTGTCTCTCTTGCGTCACTGAAATCATCAGCTTCTCCCTGGATCCACACCCAGTACAGCGCCCCCCGCTGCCTGTGCTGGTTGGAGCCATCAGTCTGCTCTATAAGATGCTGTTGCTCTGGCTTAAATGGGACCAGATGAAACAAGAGCAAGCAGGTGCAGGCAGGCAGCTGGAGACTAAATCTCACTTTGAAGTGAACCACAAAGGTAACATAACGCCAACTTTCTCCAAATGCAAGGAGCAAAGTAGGAGAGAATGTACATGTGAAGTTTTTCAGTAGAATTATTAAAAGCCAGACTACTAATACAAAGAGTGAACAGTTGTGAATATGAGTTGATTGAAAATGAACACCTATCCTTTTTTAGAGGTGAATGGGTGTCACTGTCTCTGTGATAATATTTCTTTGACTGATCCCACTTTGATGTATCTGCCAAGTGTACATTCAGCTGTAAGAAACATCAAACTGTGCCCATGTTTGTTTTTCATTCCTCTGTTTGACTCCTACAGTCTCGACTAAAGGGAAAGCCGAGGGTTGGATAGATCCAGAGAAACTCCTGGATGACGTTAGCCAAGTCCAATATCCTGCGGATGACCCTCTTCACAATGGGGCGCTTGTCCTCAGTAACCCGGGAATCTCCACCAGCAGCCCTGACAGGGACTCTGAAAACCCTCAACCGCAGCCAGGAGTCCACCTGCATGCAGCAGCTCCTCGGGACAGCAGTGACTGTGAAGGTCTGAGCTGTGTCGCAGATTTGAGTCAAACAGAAGAGATTACAGGAATCTCCAAAGACAGAACCTGTAAGGGACATCTTGGTAAGAAAGTTAAGATCCTTGGACTGTCTGTTGCCTTTCTCATCTCATGGGGAAAACAATTTGAGCTTGTTCGTTCCACATTTTGGTTTTAATATGTAACCAAATGTAAAGAGTTTTTGTTTACTCCAAGGCATAGGTGAAGACAACTGTGTGATTTCAAATTCATTTGCTTTATCAGTAAACATAAAAATACAAGTGCAATATATTTGGGACACCTGTAACAATTTGAGAGTTGAAAATGTCCCTTTTTACATAAAAAATGGCTGCAGATACACTTGTGTATTGGGTTGGATAAAAATAGAATTGTGAATGTTTGCTGCCTCTGAAACAAACTCGAAGAATATTCAACATTACTAAACGTTAGCAACCAGTTCTAGCGCAAACATCCGTGATGCTCTGCTACACATACTGCAGTGTTTGGCAAAGTATGGAGTCAAATACACTCTTTTGAATGAACTACATTTTGATGCCATTTGTAAATCCCCTCAACATTGCTTTCTAATCTTATTAAAACATTGACCAACCTGTATATAAGGCCCTCTTCAAAAATACTCCTCCAATATCATTTTGATACTAATTTAAATTCATTGCATGTGTATCAAACACATCATTACTTCACATTTGTGAAATAAATAAATAAGAGAAGTCATTCTGTGTCCTTGGAGCATGGTGTTTTAAATTAACATGAAAGTCACAATCATTAAAGAAAACATTTTCTTCTGTTGTCTTTGTGCTCCAAGGCAATGAGAATGCATCTAATAGCTCCCAAATCTGCAAATCCTCACATCCCACTGACAGTCCTGTTCCTACCAGCCAGGAGGTAGTCATTCTCCTGCCATCCACCCTCGTCGTGCAGAGCCTTTGCACCCCCATCCTGTCTCTGATCAACAGCTTGGTGACGCTGCTGGTTGGCCCGCAGTGTCTGCACAGCTCTGGAGCCTGTGGCCTCCTGGTTTATCTGGATCCTGTCCTGTCTATGTTGGCTGTGTGTGTGCTGATTGCCATGGCTATGCCAGAGGTCAGACTTTGACTGGATTTATACATGATATCCTGATATGTAGTTAAATAGTTGCTGCTGCTGTCGTAGAGTTGAACTACAAGCAATGTGGAAAAGATTATTTGCAGAAGTTTGATAAAATAACAAATGAAGATGCATGTATTCAATGTTCTTCTCTGGTAAATGTGTCCAGGTGCACAGGTATGGACTGTTATTGCTACAGTCAACACCTCCACATATTTGTGTGTCTGATCTTGGACGGAGGATTGCGAGTGTCCCTGGTGTGCAGGCTGTGCACGACCTCCACGTCTGGCAGTTAGCTGGAACACTAACAGTGGCCTCGGTGCATGTACACTGTCATGCTGGGTTTCCATTACACAGGCGAGTTTAACAAATTTGTACTTTTGTGTCGCTTATATTTTTCTGTTATCACGTGTAAGTGGATACATTTTAGCAACCAGAGAATGATAGACATCTCTAATATATAAGTATATTAACGGATGTAACAGCATAAACTATGAGTGAAAATAATTTCCGTAACTCTCAAGGTGTTGTGTTATTTGGACAAAATAATTGTAAGAAAAGTTGTTCAAGCTGAAGTTTTTTTTTTTATTAATGAGGAATCTACTCACATATGTCTAGGTGTGTTGATGTGCTCTCCGGGGTCACAAAGGTGCTGCAGAGTGTCGGAGTGAGTTGCTGCACCGTTCAGCCAGAGTTTGTATCCTATTCTGGCTCCTCTGCAGGCAGTGAGGGGGAAACCTCCCCAGTCATCCACAGAGAGGACCCCACTCTGCCTCCGCTCCAGCTGACCTGCAGCCTCGCTTGTGGAAAGGCCTGCGCTGGTTTCATGTGCTGCTCCCCCAAAGAGGAGCCGACCAGGACACTGCTGACACCAGCTGGAGAAACAAAGGAAGACCCTCAAACACTGGTCATCGAGAACACGTTCCTCTGACCATCAGATTTAACCATTGAATTATCCTAAAGGATATCCATGTCCAGATGTAAAGCTAATCATAGTGAACGGTGGAGAATGTAAAGATTTGAAAGTGTAATCTTTAACAAAACACTGACTGCATATATATATATATATATATATATATATATATATATATATATATAGAGTATATATGTTCAGATAGATATACAACATTAACACGGTGCTGTGCCAAATATTTTTGTTATACCAAATTAATTTAAGTGCTGAATAAGGCATTTTATACAAGCTGTGTTACTTTGTTTGTACCTGAAAACTCAAAACACTGTATCATGTGCTGAAATAAAACAAATAATAATAATAACATTTGCCCTTTTATTTCAAGATGAAATCAAATGTGTTGATCTGATATAGTACAAGTATGAAGTAGTTTAATATGTTATAAGCTTCTTCTTTATAAATATGGTGACACTCTGTAGTTGGACTAGATCTGGACACTTTGGAGACAGTTGCTGAGAGGAGGGTGAAGGACAAAATCATATCCATCTTGGATAACTCCTCTCACCCTCTCCATGACGAGCTGTGGCAGATGAGAAGTTCTTTCAGCCAACACCTCATCCCCCCCAGGTGCAAAACGGAGCTCTTCAGGCGCTCCTTTGTGCCCACTGCCATAAGACTGTACATTTTTTATTTTGTATGACCTTTTCTGTCTTTTGCTGCTGCAACGTGACAAATTTCCCCTCTGGGGATCAATAAAGTATTATCCTATCCTATATACAATGAAATACAATACAAAATATATCCAGTGGTGCAAAGTAGAAGAGCACATTCACTTAAGTAATGTACTCCAGTCAAATGTTGAGGTGCCTTTTAATACTTTCATTTAATGCTCCTGTACATTTTAACAACTCTACATTTATCTGCTAGATAAAGTTACTCTCTACGGATTGACTAAACCAACAAAACAGTTTTAGAATAAATGTATTTATAAAATGTACTGCTCTCAAGAGTGTATGCAGTGAGTATTTGACTTACTGCAACATTAAAGTTTTTTTCCCAGTTTAATCCACCAGTGTTTCTGATGATCCCAAATAGCCTATAATCAAATCATAACTTTGAATGCGGAGCTTTTGTAAGAACACTGCATAGTATAGTTTTGCTAATTTGACCAGTTATCTTTTCCACCTTAAACAATATTAATATTGAAGGACATAAATTGAGGCGAATTAGTCAATTAATGTGCCTGGAAAAATGGATGTGGATCCAATAACTGGCAACACATTATCAATATCACGAGTTACTTCCCTGTGGTCACATGCCATCATATACCTGTGATTTATTGTGAACATAAACAGTCAGTCTCACTTACCTGCGATGACGTTGTGTGGCAACACCTTTATATTTTCAGGCAGCCAATCAAAATGCTTCTTATTTGCATAAAAAGCACAGAGGATACTATGTTTCCTTTGTTTGTACTTTTTCTTAACATAAATGTGGTTTAAAGCATCCAGTATATGATTGAACTATGCGTAAAGAAGCTTTCTTTGACAAATACAGACACATGTCCAGTCATCATGGTGAAACCGTGACTGAGAGTGTGGTCACCAGTGACACAGTATATAGTCCGCGTGTTTTACATTTAACAATTGCCCGGATGAGCCTCGGTGGTCCGGGGTGCAGGCTTCAAACCTGTAGCTGCTTAGCGGCAGAGTGGTTCAATTCCACCTTTCGGGCGGATTCGTCTCTCAGAGACTGAATAATGATCTCAGGTTGATGAAATGAAACTTCATCATATACTGACGAGCTGTAACTATCCATGTCGTGCATTGAGGTGATTGCAATGTCTAACATGTCATTTGCGTATCCATAAACAGCAAAACTATGATATTTTTTTAATACTTTCTCTTTCTCAGAACTACAAAATGTCCCGACTCTGCACAAAGCAGAGACTTCCTGTCACGTTTTTCCTCTCACTCTACAATAAAGGTTTGAAATTACCCAAAGAAAAATAATTCTTCTGCATTTTTTTTTAGTTTTTTCATCTTTTGAATAATAATTGTTGAACTAATTTACTTTATATTATAAAACATTTGGGTTTATGGTTAAGGTTTACTTGTGCAATTTCGTTATCTGCATTAGCCAACATCTGAGTGACAACTCATTTATAACTCACCTTGAATTCAACCTGCACCATCTGCTAAATATAATGTTTGTTTTAATGTAAGAGTGTATGAAGAGTCACCAAACTAAAAAAAAACCTGAAAATGAATAGTCACAGGTAGTGTTAGCATTTACCTGGTAAACTTGTTTCATACTTATTTACAAAAAAAACATGATATTCAATTACATAAATGTGAAGAGAGCCGTAATTATACTAATAAAGTAAAAATACAAGAATGTTTGGTAAATACAGAAAGCTCATATCACAAATCCACATCCGCTTTTGCAGTGAAAATAAATGATTGATAGCCCGTAAAAGCCAATCATTGCTGGAGAGTTCTTGTCAGCCAATCACAGACGTCGTTGGAGGCGGGTTTATGAAAGCGGAAACCAGCCTGGGCAGTAGAGGATGCATGTTGTCCTTGCCTGCTTTATTTAGGCTAACTTGGATTAAAACCGGTCCCTGTACTTGGTGGTGGTCATCTTTTTTTCCTTTTTAAAGGGTAAGGGAGGCGTGTACGTTTTCTCAAACCGCGTATCAAACTCGTAGAGTCTTGTTTGTCACGATGAAAGTGTATTATATCTGTGTTATTGGCCTGTGCCACTTAGCATGCTGCTAACAGGCAACTTTATGGAAGGAATACACTTGAGTGTATGTCAGTAAATGAATCTTCAGAAATCCAAATGACTTAAGAGATTTGCTTGTTTTTTAAATAATTGTAACAATAGTGATGGTTGTGTGCATTATTAAATAAAAAATGAAATGTTAAGAGGTCAAAGGTTGCTCTTGCAGTCTAAGGCCTTCTGTCACAATCATTAATACTTCTGATGTAAAGCTTTGATGTTATCTTAAATTATAGTTTTCAATCTTTTATTCATTTAGGTTCTTCAGTCAATCAAATGCCATGCATGCAGGGTTTCTACCTCTCTAGTTGTAATAGATAGAATGTAAACCTGGGTAATATATTGTTGTTAGTGTTTTTCAGTGTTTCAGATGACATTAAAGTCTCAATTCAATTCAAAAAACTTATTTGTCCCCGGGGGCAATTCAAAGGCACACAGAGCAGTAAATTAACAACAGTGCAAGTAAACAAAACATTTTAACCTAAATAGAAAGTGTCAATTTAAATACAACTTAAAGCTTAAACTTAACTTAAAAATACAAAATATAAAAGAGTAGATATGAGTGGACAGTGATCTGACTAACCACTTTTATCTACTCTTTTATATTTTGTATTTTAAGTCTGTACTCTTAAAGAATGAGAACCTGCGGAAAGATGGCAACAACAACAATAATAACAACTTGTCAAAATAAGTTCAGAAAGGATTTCAGGCTTCAGCTCGGGAACAAACTTTTTGGTGTTTATCAAAAAACATTTAGTGCATGTGGAAGAAAAGTGTAGCTCTTGCAGAAAACATTTAATGATGATTTTAGCCGGTTTACAATTCAGTTTTTTGTTCATATCTCTTTCCTTATTCTCTCTTCCAGGTTGACTTTAAAAGAGTCTGTTATGCCTCTTTTTAAATACTCACCCAAAATCTGGGATGCCCTGAAACTGAAGCAGGGCATCTATGCTCGCCTTCCCAAACATTACCTCAAGTCCCTCGAGCAGAAAGAACCCACCCCTGTCCATTGGAAGCCGTTGGGAGTCCAGTACCGAGCTAACCCAAACACAGGGCAGAAGGAACGGGTGCAGGATGTCCCGATCCCCATCTTCTACCCCCCGCCCTCCCAAGACGGCCTGTGGGGAGGAGAGGGCTTGATATCGGGTTTCAGATACGCCAACGGTGACAAAGTGAGTCCATGAAGATGCTTTTCTTCTGTTAGTTATACGACAGTGTTGACTTTATTCATCATTCTTAAGTCATCTGTCCCAGCCATTTAAAAACATAATGAATTCCTGACTGTCTGTGTCTGTAGCTGTCGACTCGTCTGAGAAAGACCTGGAAACCCCAGCTGTTCAAGAGGGAGCTGTACAGCGAGATCCTCGACCACAAGTTTACCATCACCGTCACAGCACGCACTCTGGACCTCATCGACGCTGCCTACGGATTTGACTTTTACATTCTTAGAGTAAGAAACAAACTACCTCACTGTATCAAAATGACCACCTATAGTTTTTTTCCCCCCTGACATTTATTACACTACCTTCTCTTTACTTTGATTAGACAACCAAAAGAAGACCTTAACTCCAAGCTGGGGATGGACCTGAAGAGGGCGATGCTGCTACGCCTAGCACGCAAAGACACAGAGCTTTACCCCAATGACTCAGTGAGAGAGAGAAGGTTTACAACAAATACAAGGTAGCTGGGATGTGTTCAGAGTCATTTCTAAAGCTGATATTTACTGTAAAAGAGAAGGTTTAAAATACAATATCGGGCTTCTCTTTGTCTTTGTGAGCAGCAGTTTGAGATCCCAGAGGAGGAGGCGGAGTGGTTTGGTCTGAGTCTGGAGGAAGCCGTGGAGAAACAGAGGCAGCTTGAGTACAAGGTAAGAGAGTCCTCATGAGCAACTGCCTAAAGCTCACCTCACTCTAAACTCTATTTTTAGAAGTTTGTCCTCGTAAGAATACAAAAATACATTGCTCATCTTTAGTATGCCAAAAACATTTATAAGAACCTTAAGAAAGAGAAAAGATAGAGCTTTCATGTAAAATGTGTGACATTTTCGGGCTGAACGCTAACAACACTTTATTTTTCACCCTGACTTTTCATTTAATTTTTCATGCCGACCCCTGGTAAATTTCCGTGTGAAGTCAGGGTGAAGCCCATTCGAGAACACAGCATGAAATATTCAGCAATATGTTTTCTTTTCCCCAGTATGCTCTTCTCTGCTCTTTTGGTGATGCGGTGAATTTGTCAAACTACAAAGTGCATTAATATAAAGGCCAAAACTTTCATCGTAGTGTCAGACTCTGTTGCTTCGTCCAACATTTCTAAGTCACGTCCTGCTCCTGACTCTATCTTGTCTGTGCTGACTCTGTTTTGTTCTGTCCACCAGGAGCCCGAGCCACTCTTTAAGGCCTGTGTGGACGAGTTGGTGCAGGAGCTGCAAATCCAAAAATTCTCGGAACCTCACCTCATAGAGAAGGAGTGAAGACCTGAACTGTTTTTGCAGCAGCAGAAGAAGAAGAAGATTTTTCAGACTGAGCAATGGAGTAAGTTTAACTGTCAGGCTTCTCCAGGAGGTGGTGGGCGTCACATTTTCAGTTTGGTTCGCTCACCTGGGAGAATTTTCTACAGTTTCAAACTTAATTTCCATCTGGGAGCAACGCAAGCGTGGAAGTGACACAAATGAAGAGGTCCTGCTGGAGTTATACTTATTTATTTCCCTCTAAGATACACACATGACAGATATTGTAGAAATCAAAGGAGGCGTGTCCATCAGTGTAAATACTCCCTGACCAGCTGTGAGATCAGGCCCCTCTGTACAGGATATCTAATCAAATAAATGTGTCTCTTTTTTTCTTAAACTTTGTTTCGGCTCATCTGTTCTGCAATATGTACTCAATTAGTTAAACAGTAAACAAATCAAATATAATGCAAAGATATAGATCGAACAACCCAGAATAATTCAAATACATCAATGATCTTATTATCAGCCTGATAAATAAATGCATTATTAGAAGGAAACACATAATAATAAACAGTATTATACTGTCTTCTTTGTATTAAATGCCTAGCTTTACTTTAGCTACCTCTTTGTTCTGCTTTTCTAAAGTATTTGTGCTCCTACATGTAACCTGTGACGGAGTATTTTAACAGTGTTGTGTTAAGTTTTCATTAACTTTTGTTGTTGAATGTCAGTATGCGTGTTTCCTGTGTTTCACTACCTTTTGAGGTTTGTACTGTAAACCCAGAACAAGTAATGTTTCTTATTGCCAACAGATGGCGCTAAAACACTTTCAATTAGTGGATTTTATTTTTACTTTCTTCCTCCGTTTCTCAGAGTCGAATTCTTCAGAGTTAAAGTACAGCAAATTCTTCACATTTTGTCATCTATGCAACAACAAAAAAAACAAGCATTTATTCTCATCTGCTCCATGATTGTCTGAGTTGAATCCTCTCCAAAATATGTAAAAAGGATTTTAATTGTGTAAGTCATCACATGCAGAGTATTTCTTCAATCCTTCAAATATAGCCTGTACATGTTTTATAAAAGCTAAATCCTTTAAACTGTTGAACGTCTTGTGTCCACACATGCCTTTCAGAAATGCCTCGAAAACATGAAGTGTCGTAAGTGCTGCCACAGTAACGGTCCTGGAAGTATGCTCGAGTTCACGAGAGGTTAAAATAAAATGAAAATAAAAAAAGAGGAGGAGATTTATGATAAAAGAAAACAACCGTTTGTCGCCTGGTTTCACATTCAACACTTCCTGCTGCGATCTGTGTCAGTTGTATGAGGTGTAGATTTGTGGTTGCAGCGCACTATTATGGAACGATGGGGAGTCCCGTGGGTGTTGTAACCTAGCAACGGAGGAGAAAATTACCATACAACGCACCTATAAACATAAAACTCCGCTCCTTATATAGACCTGACCTCGGTGTGGAATTACCCTTGAATATAGTGGCAACAATTACGAAATAATTCATGTTGACAAAAAAAAAGACTCTTGACACAAACCAAAGGTCAAATATGAACCAGTGACTTTATATGGAAATGAACGACAAGCCTCCAGCCCCTCCCATTGTTGCCAAACCGAAGGGAAAGGCTGGTGGACGGGCGCTATTGACACACATCTAACTTCCCGCTAAACAGCAAAGATTCTCCTAGTACAGAGGTCAGGACAGTCTACAGCCTATTCTTGGAGCAGAAACAGACACTCTCAGTTCAATGACTCTACTCTGCTAATCCAGTTCACACAGCCGCCCCAGAAGCTGTCTGTCATGGCGGTTTACCTTTTTTTTTATAGTGTCAAGTAATGAATTGAAACTACATTTCTCACTAAAGTAAGTAAATAATAACATCAACTATATTTAAGATAAAATGTACATATATTTAGATTTTCTAGTTTGACCCATATCCCATCTGTTTCCATGGAGGAGGCGGAGCTTATGACTTACGCTGCTTCCAGCCAGTATGGGGAGCTCCAAATGTTTTGTTTTGCAATCACAGAATGTTATGTAGGCTATAGCCAACGAGAAACACCCAGATGTATACTAGATTGATGGTCATTTTCTAAGTATGATACGAGAGCACACTGGTCAAACCAAACTACTCCAAAAATGCATTGTGGCTCTCAGACTATTCAACGGCAGAGCTCACCAGTCAGCCAACAAGCGGCGTAAAAATAGAAGGATACGTACTCTAAAACTAAATTACATTCAAAGAAAAGCCATCTTAGTTATGAAGGTTATTGCTGTTCTAATTCTATTTACGGACCAATGGTTGTGCTAGCTTGAAAATACATATTGGAAATACATATTTGTTAAAGTCAAGTGACCTGTAGTTTAGTATGTTGCTAATGCTGACAGTCAGATTAGTATGCAGTATTTAGCCTACTGTTTGAGTCAGCATCACTATTAGAAATGTGTTTTCTGACTCTGCCTATATTCTGAACAGATTTAAAAGGTTCCTCTCTACAAGTTCTTAACTCTTTACTTACTATTTTTATTTCAAAATCTTGACATGGAAAAATGCTACTACCTACATACTTTACAAGGAACAGCTATCATGTCCATTTATAATCAGTCTGTCACTAACTTATATACTAATAATATCTCTAGTGACATCCATCTGCAGTCTACAGATGCTTGTCCCTTCTTATTGACTCTTATTTTGCCAGTCTTTCATTCACCTAGATGTGTGTTTTTTCATCAGTAAGTGATACACAAATGTTATCACCATCTAGTGTGGCTGTGACATCAGTGAAAGCCCTGGTGTTCATAGAGAGCTTGTGTGACTTTATCTGAGATTTGCCGATGAAAGGTACACCTTTATGGTGGAAAAGGTACTATTCAAGCCTCCTGGTGATGTTTCTCCCCATCATCATCACCACCATCATCATCACCATCATCATAACACGATTTGAATGTTTCCAAAACACACAGTGACTCAGCACCTACTTTGGTTATCTTGTAGTCCCTAAAAAAAACAACAGACACTTCTGCATTTCACACAACAGAACTTTAAGGTGTTGTCTAATAAAGATATATAACTAATATTAACACATTAAAATAAAAACCTCCTGTTATATTAACCGGGAAACTATAATTCAGTTAGTTTTGAAGCTCCTGTGAGGAACTTTGTTTGCATTTTGGTTCCCCCTGTGGACAAAGCAGTAACTCTTAATTCCTTGCTGATAGTGTCCTGTGTACAGTCAAATTGATCTTTCTAGCTGAATACATAATAAAAGGCTGTTTCTGTAGAATGCTGTTAATCTCCTTTTAAATCACTTTGCCCTCAGGTGAGGTTTCAGTCACTAAAAATAACTACATAGAAAAAAATCAATATTTACATTGATGTTCTTGTTTGATTTGAACTTTTTGACTTGTTTAATCTCATAACATTAAATGCCCCCGGCACATGAATTAAGTAAAAAAAAAAAATAATAAACTGCACCTGAAATAATGTATTTGAGTGGCATGTGCTTTTGACTGTCGACCTCCATGTGACTCTTTTTTTTGTGCCTGTATCCTTTTAAACTACTTCGCTTTCTAATGAGCGCTCTCATCATGGGAATGAACCTTTCATGACCATGACGTGGTTCGAGTTCAGAGACGTCTTTGATCACATTTAATTATCTCACGACAAACACATTCCATTTCAAAGGTGCTGCTATACTTAATGATACCATTTTACTGCAGATCATAAACCTGCCTTCAAAGGAATGGTTCAGCATTTTTATATCTGCACTTTCTCCCTGAGAAAATCGATACCACTCTCATGTTTGGGTCTTTCCAAAAAGGTAATAAAATCTGCCTCCAGGACATAAAGAGGTCACTGATTAACATGTGCTTTTTTTTTTGGTTTATTCTACCAGTGCTAAAACAGGGAGTGGTTTGTAGACCGTGCCATGCTGTTCTCCTTTTTTTTTTTTCCAGTCATCATGTTATGGTAAGTAGCTGCTGAACCAGTTATGTATTTAGGGCACAGTACAGAGATGAGAGTGTTAAATATTAACCTTTCGTGCCATGCTTAATAATATGGGCATGTGCCAGAAACATTTCACTCTATTACTTTAAATAGAAATGATGATACCTCCTGCTTCTGTTTACATCTTGGAGCAAGACGTTATCATTAAGAAAGTGTACACAGTTGGTCATTAACTCAAATAAGAAAATTAAGAAATTAGTAATGATTATAATCCTGAAGTTTCCAAATACATCCTGTGGCCATTACAATTGGGCTTCAGCTAAGATCAGGTAAAACAATTCTCTGAATGACGATATAAGTCTTCTTTAAACCTCTTATTTTCCTGACTTTAGAAGAGATGCTGACCATCTGTTAGAAATGAGCCTGTGTACATGTCCAGGCAAGTATCACCAGTGAGGAATGATGGTACCATTTACAGGAAATGGTGTCTTTCTCAGTGTGTACTCTAGATAAAAGGTCTTGGACACGAGCCCAGTGTGGAGTTTCCCAGTTGTTAGGAGCTGTTCAGATCAAGTCAGCAGTGACGGGGCAGAGCCAGAAAAGGTAACACCTGCTGTAAATAATACACTCCCAGCAGCAGCAGCACATGGAGGGTGACCAACTGAGCAGATGGACTGACAGGCTGAAGTCATTGTTTGTTTTTCTGCTCATTAAAAACAGGTTTGTGGGCTTTAAAAGCTCATGCAAGTTACTTAAAATGTAGGTATTTGTTTATATTTTTTTGTTTTAGGTAATTTTAACAGTATCTTTGTAATGTTTAAGAGTCCAAAAATCTTAATCAGCCAGGTCTTTCGACATTCTTAATGTCTAAAGACGTCTTAACTCTCCACTGTCGTCTAATATTGTATAGGACAAACTATTAATATATTTTTTCTCCAGATTTGTTCAACCCTGTAGACACAGTGGAATGTCTTGTGTCTTTGCTGATCTTGTCCTGTACTTGTGTAATTAGTGTTTTCTGACACCATATGTCATCCTTCTCGCTTTTAACATTCAAATATATTTGTCATGAAAAAATACCTGTTTCTTCAGCCTCTGACAACTTCCCCTTAGCAGTGGCCACAGGCATTAAAAATTACTCCATCGAAAAAGTCAAGCGTGTCCCTGATGGTCTCATTTGCTTTTGTAGGCGGTATAAAGGCACCACTAGTTTCAGTCTGTTTCGTAACTAGCTGAAAACTCCACACAGTGATTTTAAGGTTATAATCCTTGACCCATCTATGAAGATTGCTGATGTAGCATTATACAAGTTTCCCATCATGTAAGCATGAGATCAAAAAAACACCTCAGCAGTGACCGCAACAGAAGGAGAAGTTGAGAATTTTGTTTTTGCCTGGATTACTGAAACAAATTAGAGGAAATTATTTAAGAGACGTG